AGTGTGAATATTTTCATGTTTTACTGAAGAAAATTTTAATGTGTTTGAAAGCTTCCTCCAACCCCCAATGGAGGTGTTACACAATACACAGTTTGTGCTCACATTACCATTTTAAAAATGCAACAGATTCCAAAGTTTGGCCCACCTGGGTTATGGTTCAAGAATTGTGACCCTATGTTAATATTCACTTGGGGAAGCAATTTGCACCAGTCAATGTATAATCTGTTATCATTTGATTTGTACATAAACTCTCTGGGAATGTAATTTAATGGTCATTTAAGTCACCTCTTTTATAGTCAAATAAAGGCCAAAAAGCATGGTTATATACTTCCCAGATATTTCCATTTCTTTGGGAATATTTAGTGACTACATGGAATTTTAATATTTAGCTCTTAAATCTTTATCTACAAATTCCTCATGAATTTATTGTAGCTAATAGTCCTACATGTAAGTACTGCAATAAAGAGGTTTCTGTTTTAAAAAATTCTGACATTACTGCAATTAATAACCATTTCTAACTTCATTGTAGATAAACAAATAAAATATAACCCACAAACAGATGCATTCTATAGGTTGAATCATTCAGGAAGAAATGAAGGCATTTTATTTTTCTGGAAAGCTATGTATGTATACACCTAATGAGCACTTACTGTATCGTAGTTAGTGAGTGAATACTAACAATAGTTATAAATTCTGCAAAGATATAAATCTCTACTAAGTGAAGTCGATTTTAGTCGTTATCCCTATTTACCAGATAAGCAAAGTGAGGCACAGGAAGAAGGAAAATATTCTGTATTTGACCTTTATGTTTATTGTTGGTCCAAAGAGTAACTGCTTAGTTCCTGTGTGTTCCTTAGTTTCTTCTTTCCCTCCCCCTTCCCCCTCCCCTCCCTCTCCTCCTCCCTCTCCTGTCCTCTTTCTGTTCCTCCTCTTCTTCTCTCCTTCTTCTTCTCCTGTAGTTAAACGCCATTAGCCCACTGTTCATTCTTTTGTGGCTTAGATTTTCTATTATCTTCAGTGTCACTAAGCATTTTTCAATTCCTATGTGAAACATACAATTGTTGTCTTCAAGACTAATAATTATGTCTTATTGAAGACAGAATTAAAGACAATGAGAACTTAGGAGGTATTGAATGAGTTTTACCGGCCACCTCCAAAATCCATTACTTGATAGAGCCATTGAGGTTTAATACAATGAATGCCAAGAAAGATCTAGCAGCCATAATTATAAATGCTACTAAAATGAGTAATATTTTAAAACATTCCTGCAATATGTCTCGTTAAATCTCAATTTACAGAGAGCCACAGTTCATAAAACATCACAGGGGCTGAGGCTGGGCAGTTTGAAGAATGATGCAAATCTCAACTTGACAGAGGACTTCACAATGATTTGGTGTTCTTATAATTTGGTGAAGTGAGTTTTCCCTTCAAGGAGACAGGGGCATGGAGACATTTGATAGTATACCTATTACAGAAATGAAGTCAGTGGTAGAGCCAGAATTAAAACTTAGGGCATCTGAGGATCCCATATCTGATATCACCCATTTAGCCACATAGAGGATGAATTGAGTCACCAGTGAAAATTCTGGGGGAGGGGGCCCTAAAATAATTTCTTCTGACTATGCTACATCTTATCTTGCCACACTGTGGGTGACAGAGCCTGTCCTCATTATCTTATGCCCAACCATGAGCCCTTGTGTAGGAGAAGTGAGAAAAATGAAGTCTGTGGTGTGATTTTGATTGTCATGTGGGAAGAGGATGTAAACGGCTCCCTCCTCATGGACTGGGGATCTGAGTGTGCAGGCCTTTAAACATGGATCCAGGGCACGGCTCTCTCTTCTCTGCCTGACAGCTGAGAGCGCACCTCCTACTTCCTTGGCCACAAGCACACATTTTTAATAAGACATCAGCTGAGCAGTAGAATATCGGATATGAGTTTTAATTGCATTCTGCTTCCCGTAAGTTCTACCCCATCATTGTTAAGGAAAATAACACTACCTTGGCGTTCACAGTGTAGCTTTCCTGATGGGCAGTCTCCAAATTTTACATAAAAATTCTGATGAAGATAAGACTCACTTCACCAGCTTGTGGTGCAAAATAATGTCTCGTTTCTAATGTTCAAATCCTATCGACTTCAAGCCTTTGTTCCACTGGTCACGAGAGGGCTCTCCCTCTGCAGGTGCTTCAAATGCACTCTAAGTGGAAGGGGATCCGTGGTGCTTAATAACCCTTTGCAGAGGAGGAAACTGGGAAGTCTGGCCATTTCCCCTGAGGGAGTGCTTTCTCTACCACTATTGCCAGTGCCTGGTGTGGTCAGCAGGCAAATATTCTAGGGCAAGGCTGCAAGCCCCAAGGAACTGAAGAGCACCTGGCCTTACTTCGGAATCCAGGGTGAGGAAGAAGCTGCTTTTCCTCTCAGACTTATTCTCATCTATGGCTGCTGCACACCACGCCTGGCCCAAATTCCAAGATATAATTCTATCACTTTACACTCAGGCTCAGACATTTTATCCAGGGCACATCATGGTGCCTGGACACTGGTTTCATGGTAGGTGGGGCAAGGGGTGTGGTCACAGAACCTGCTTTGCTAGAAAGAGCTCACCCCACCAACAACAAGGCTCTGGCGTTAAGCCTAAATCCAACCCCCTCGGGAGCACCTCTCATCTGTTGGCCTCATCCAGAACAACACCTGGCCATCAGATATCCTCTAATAACCCAGAGCCTCAAAGCTTTCATTTCTTTCCTTCTAGATGACTATTTGGCCCTCAATGGAAATCTGTTGCTACAAATAGATGTAGATTAAAAGGAACAGTACTCAGCTTTATCCACCTGGGAAAATTGTGCCTCAGCGACCTGCTATGTTCCTAAGAAGATCATGGTGTGTTTACCTCATATCACATATTTAAGTGGGTATCTATTTTTTTTCCTAAAAAAATATTTGTTATGTTGCTAAAACCAGAAATAACTGGGACTGTTTGAAATCATTTAAAACAATAAAATAAAAATAAAACCAACTAACTAACCAAAAAGATCCACTAACAGTCCTGTCTTGGGCTAAGTGGTCATCTCAATAGAAACACTGTTGTTGAGGAAGAAGGCGGAGCTCTGATAAAATAGTTTGTATGTGAAACAGTAACCACCAACATAGATGTCCTGACTATGTTAGGGACCAACAGAAAACTCATGAAATCTAATGTAGCAAGGAAATTGAGGGTGGGATAAAGAAAACCCCACCTCAGTCATGCAGACCTCAGAAGATGCCTAAGTGCCGGATGGTGAGGAAATAGACATGAGAGTGACCTGCCAGGACCCCTGTGGACCAGAGTTAAGAACATTCCACACATCCTTTCTGTGAACAAAGTTAACGCTGGGCAGCTTGCACCCCACTCCAGCTTAGGTAGGGTAGAATTGTACCCAACATAAGATTAGATTCAGCATATAAGGCAAATGTTATATATAACTAAAATATGTTGAAAAATCTCACAATCCACCTATAGGTTCAGAAAGCATTACTTTGTGGGCATAACCCCAGAAGAACATCAGGTTCAGATCTATGTCTCTATTCTTGGACATATGTATTGAGTGGCAAGTGGTATCACCTATGACATTGTAATGTTCTCTCTCTCTCTCTCTCTCTCTCTCTCTCAAGTGCATGTAGTTGGAATCACGTGAGTTATATGTGCGTATGATATGGCTATACTGTATGTGAGAAGGGGAGACATGTCCACATGGCATCCAGAAAAAAGTAATCACATAAGGGAAAGGGAGTATCTGTCAGAAAATACAAAAGAAAAGTCTCCATCTAAAAATAGTTTTGGTATTGAAACAGAGAAAAATAATTATTGTTTTGCGGTTGCCAATAATCTGCCCATCTGAAATAAAGCCAAAAAATTATGGGAGCTAAAGAAGAGATTGACACAATTCTCGAAACACCTTTTAGAGTATTTCTAAACTTTCTAAACACTTTCTAAAGTGTTTCTAAATCTGACTCCCAGGACACCACACTAGTTCTGCTCCCATTGTACTGGCCATCCCCGGCCAGTCTCCATTGCTCCTTCCCCCTCATCTTCTCAGCCTCCAAAGATTGATGTCTCACTAGGCTTAGCCATTGTATCCCTTCTTTTCTATGTATTCACCCACTTGTTTGGTGATTGCTTTGGTTCCCGTGGCTTTATATGCCACCTATCCCCACACGTATACGCTGATGGCTCTGCATTTATGTCTCTAGCCCAGAGCTCTAGACCTGTATGTATAACTTCTTATCTAACATTTCCACTTTGATGTAGCAGGAATCTTGGCAAATGTGTCTAAAACCAAACCCTTGAGTTCTTATTTTAATCATATTGGCTCTTTTCCCTCTAGTATGTTCCCTCTCTGTCAAAGGCACCACTGTTCATCAGGTTGCTCAGGTCAAATATCTGGAGTCATTCAGTACTCTCTCTCTCTCATGCAGTGTCTAACCTATCAGAAGATCCTGTCGTCTGGATATTAAAATTTTATGCATCGTCGTCTCTTTTTACACCACTCTCATCCAGGCCACTGACACCTCCTGCTTGGACCTTCACCATCCTTCTCTAACTAGCCTTCCTTCTTCTACTCTTGCCCTTCACAGACCATTCGCCTCGCAATGGCCAGGTAAGTCTTTTAAAGATATAAATTAGATTACCAGTGACTCCCTTGTTCAAAAACTTCAGGTGGGTTTCCATTGTGGTTGGAATAAAATCTCAAGTCTCTTTATGGCTTTCAAAACTCTTCATGATCTGGTTTCTACCTAACCTTTCAATCACACCTCAAGCCTTTGGGCCCTTATAAAACTAACCTCAAATTTATTTGGCCTTTAGTAGTTTCTAGAACCACACCAAACTTTTCACCTCATCAGAACATTTTTGTTTGCTAGTCCCTTAAGCCTGGAACCACCTTCTGCAGTTTTAGCATAGCTGGCTCCAAGCCTAAAAAGCTATACATAGATCAGAAGGAAGAATGTATTTAAAAGAACTAACCAGGTCTTACTTCACACTTCAGATCCTTAGCACCAGGGATCAGACCTGTGTTGGGAAGAGAAAAGTCATTTAAATAAAGTTTATGATTGAATCTTTAATCTAGATACATGTTAACACAGAAAACACAGTAGAGTTTGCTTAAGATGTTATTGAAAGATACAGATGGGAAATTCACTACACCATGTTTGAAGGCAAAATTTGGGGGGAAAAATAAAAAGGAATTAAAAATACATCATATCTATGGTGTCGTCATTTAACGCTTCTCAACAAATAATTTCTGTGGTTTAGGAAAGGCCGTAGATGCACACTTATGTCAGAACCAACCACATGGCGAAACTTCCACCTTGGTTCTAATAATATTCCAGTTGATTCTTTGTAGTTTTCTATGTAATGTATCTGGGATGTATTATAAGACTCTTATACCCTAACTGAGTAGTATTATGTGTTAAGCAATAAAAACAATTCTCACAATGCAAGCAGTCAAAAAAATGGAACTCTTGAATATATTTACTAAAATTAAACAAAGTAAAGGTGTACTTCAACTGATAGAGGTGAAAACTTAAAACAACTGAAGAATGAAAAAGATCTACAGTAAATATGAAAACAAATAGTATATAGAGTGATATACACTGCTTATAAATATTAATTAGAAATATAACTGCACAAGTCAATACGGTTCTTTAAAAAACAATGGCATATTATAAAATTAGTCACATAATTAAAAAAATTTTCTAGTATCCCAGGTCAGTTAACAGCAAGTAAGAAGTAAAACAGATAGAGAATAGGAGAAGTAAAAACGTACCAAATTCTTTACTACACATATTGTCAATCTTAAAAGTTCTCGAGAATTAGAGACACATAGATTTAGATGTGTGGATTGAGAAGCGAAAGAGACTCAAGTAAAATAAAAAATATATGTAACTTGCAAATCACTATAAAATGTTAAAGAAAAGCCTTAATGTTGATATTCTCAAGAGGCTTTGTGAACTGAAAAAAAAAATCACTTTCATTTTATACAAAAATTGTTTGCAAATATAGGAAAACATTTAGAAATTCCATTTGACCCAGCAATCCCATTACTGGGTATATATCCAAAGGATTATAAATCCTTCTACGATAAGGACACGTGCACACGAATGTTCATTGCAGCACTGTTTACAATAGCAAAGACCTGGAACCAACCCAAATGACCAACGATGATAGACTGGACAGGGAAAATGTGGCACATATACACCATGGAATATTATGCAGCCATCAAAAACGATGAGTTTGTGTCCTTTGTAGGGACATGGATGAACCTGGAAACCATCA